GCCAATGGCCATGAAGTGGACGTAATCCATTTTGACCTGTCAAAGGCATTTGATAAGGTTCCACACAGGCTACTCCTCTCGAAGCTTCAGCTCCTTGGTATATCCGGTCCAGTTTTGTTGTGGTTCTCAAGCTATCTTTCTGACAGATACCAACGAGTTGTTGTTGACGGCATATCCTCAGACTGGCTCCCAGTCACATCAGGAGTACCCCAGGGCTCCATCCTGGGTCCGCTTTTATTTTTGGTCTTCATTAATGACATGTCGTGCTCCATTACCCATGGAAGTAAACTTGGCATCTTTGCGGACGATAGGAAGCTATATCGCCCTATTGTTTCCAATGGATGTCTCCCTGCTGCAAGCTGACTTGGACAACTCCAAAACTTGGTGTGACGACAACGGTATGTCTTTTAGCACAAACAAATGTAACGTTCTACACATGTCAAAGAGAACCTCGTGCCAAAGAGAGAAGTATACATAACATTTAGACGGCCAGACCTTGGACTCGCTTCCTGATACCAAGGATTTAGGAGTGACTGTCACTACTCCATTATCATGGACGACGCACATCGAAGAGATATGTGCCAAGTGTAACAAAGTTCTTGGTTTTGTAAAGCATGTATGCGGTAAAGACATTGTTAACGTATCAACTAGGAAAATGATGTACACTGCGTTAGTTCGCCCAATCGTCGAGTACGTATGCTCTGTATGGTCTCCTTACACAGCAAAGCATCGTAGGCTAATCGAAAATATACAACGACGGGCTACTAAATACTAAACCATCCAGATAGAAAAACCAGCTTCACTGCGAGACTGAAAACTCTTAGTCTACTGCCACTTGAATTCAGAAGAGAAGTCCATGATCTTGTCATTTTATACAAAACTAGGTTAGGTCTTATCAACGCTAGTTTTGACCATCTTTTGCTTCCTGCTAACCATACATACGCAACCCGACGTCATCATCCTGCAAACATCCGCCCTTTATTTACTCATACTCAGCGGTATTTTACAAACTCTTTCTTTCCTCGCACAATTAAATTATGGAGCGATTTACCGAGCAACATTAAGCAAGCTAGCTATTTACATAACTTTAAAGCCTTAGTTAAGCGGTTTTAAACAGAAAAGCTCACCTTTATACTCCTCCCTAACTAAGTGTCGCAGTTGGTCGGCAAATTATTTTATTGTATAGACAAAGTACATAAGTGCATATGTAACCCATATTTTTCTATTCTTTGTATTTTGTAAGGGGACAAATGTCAATTGGGGCTGCCCTGTAGTCCTGCCATTATATTTTTGTTTATTTATTGCGTATCTCTGTCCATGTATTACTTGTAAATTGTATTTTTCAGTGGCAAATCTCAATAAACTAAACTAAACTAATTAACCCCCAACCCTCAAATAGTTATAGATTGGATACTATGCCAGTGGTCATCACTCAGAGAGACACTCCTGCCAAACACCACGGCTAAGCCTATACAACGAGAACGCTGCTTGATTTTGAACATCAGACAATCGACCTCATCTACACCAAGTCAGTAAAGCCCGAGATGCGAGTTTGTTGTTCCAAAACTTTTATTTACAAACATTTGAGCCCAACTAAAACAAAGAACCAGTTTAGAGCGGCTGTACACTCGAAGATCATTTAAATAAGAACAATATTGATGTTTGCGTCGCCTCCTAAACCAACCTTGAGCCAGATAAACTTGAATCAATTATCAACGTACCGATCTAAAACATATTAAGACGGGACAGGAACTGGTCAAGAGTGGTTTTGAGGGAAAAAGGCGGAATTCCTGTTTATGTGAGAAATAATCTAGATGTTTTTGATGTTTATAGATTACAACTACATAGTTTAGTTTTTAGATGTGATCTTTTATAAACACGCAGCAGGTTCTACTTTTCACATATGTATCATGGCGCGCGTATCCCCATTTAAAATCATAGTGAAAGCTGACGTGTGCAGGGTCGGACGGGTTAATGAACTCTGGGTTTCTAGTTCTGACACGAAAAACAAAGAAAAAAGTTTTTCCTGCAGGATCCTTATAGTGATTGCTCAGTGTGCGCTCGTGCATCGTCTCCTTTTAGTGTGAAACCAAATTTTTGAGGTGGTTAATCATGTTTGATCAGGCTAGAAGGGAAGATATTTGGCTTACGGTCACGAATCGTAGCACGGACCGCGGCGCATTCGGCCCGTGCGTCATGACCTCGACCCAAAAACGCAATATTTTTACCGTCAGCTGCCAAATAAGCAAACCAATGTTGGCCGTCAAATGTCTCAGATATCCATAATTAAGAACTATGCGACTGCCTTAATTAGGGTCAAGTTATATCTTTTATAATAAAATTTTTGATATATCAAAAAAATACATTTATGGAAGTCCTTTAACTTCTATTCGCAAGTAAAACTGATTAGCGACAGAACTGGTTTCCGGTTTCGAAACACTTCCGCTGTCGTAAAACGGTAGTCATTTATCAATAAAAGGTGTCATGAATTAACAGTTCTTTACAAACGCGTCATTATGAAAATGTACAGCCAAATTCGTGCGTTTAGTTCGTTTGATAAAAAATATTCCAAAAAATTAATCATCAACCGTCAAATGACTTAAAATTTAACCGTCAACCGTTAACATCACCTTCTCCGCCCCTACTGAGACCCTCCCAGACAACCCTCGATCACGAGCTCGAGCTTGCCGACTAAATTACGACACGTTATATTTTCTGAAATTACATGGCATTCTGAAATTCTCGAGAAACTGAGGAGGGTAAAGACGCATTAATTCTAAAAGCACGAAAGCTCATCGGATACCAGTTGTAATCACTCAGAGACATCCAAACAACCCGGCTAAGCGTATACAGCGAGACTGCTGCCTTATTTTAAACACCAGACAATCGACCTCATCGACAAGTCAGCAAAGCCCGAAATGCGAGTTTGCTATTTCAAAATTTTTATTTACGAACATTTGTAGCCCAACTAAAACAGAGAACCGCTTTAGAGTGGCTGTACTCAAGATCATTTAAAGAAGAACGATATCGATGTTTGCGTCGCCTCCGAAATACACCTTGAGCCAGATAAACCTGAATCTATTGTCAGCATACCTATCTAAAACATATTCAGACGAACAGGAACTGGTCAAGAGGGGTTTTGAGGGAAAAAGGCGGACTTGCTGTTTATATGCGAGAAGTAACCTAGATGTTGTTAATTGTTTATAGATTAAAACTACATAGTTTAATTTTTAGACACGATCTTTTATAAGTACGCAGTAAGTTCTATTTTTCACATATGTATATCTCAGCACACCGCACATGTTTTTATTTATCTCGGGATATTCATATTCTATCCGAGATTTATTAAAGATTTATTTGCCTCCGATGCATATTTCGAGTTATGGTGCACGCGGAAAGTTTGGAGAGCACAAGAGAGGAGTTGCTCAAAGTGCAGCCGGAAGCGTTCGGAGTTATCAATGCAACACTAAAACTAATACCGGCCGTTCAGAAAACTAAGAGGAAATTTCCTAAATTGACGAGTACCGTGTTATAGTGTTACCTCCTTGAATTGTTGGTTACTAGAATTGACGATCAGAAATTGTGGCGCTTTGTGTTGAAAATCTTAAAAATTGTACGATTTCAAAGGAAAATCATCTATTGAACAACACTTTTGGTACATGCATGCAGAATCTCTTCAGAATAGCATTCACCCCAACGACGCGAAGCCTCAGTCGAAGCAAAAAAGTGCTCAGTTTTGCTTTCACCCACATTCACGCATCGCGTTTGGCATATAAAGTATCGTCGACTCCAAAACTAATTCCGTCGTTTTGAAGAGCTACCTGATGCTCACTGTTCTTAGAAACAATTATCATTTTAGCACATCTTCTTTTCAAAATAGAGCTCCAAAAGGTTAAAGGGAAAACAATCTTGAAAGTTTTGGAACTTCGCGGGTAAACTCGAAGGGAAATCTTCGCTAACAATGACGTCAGTCTGAGCCATCTCCGTTTCTTTTTGATAAATTATAAGCTAATTAGAGCGCACGTTATCATATCATTATGATATAACATTAAATGAAAAGCAGAGATGTAAGGAATCATCACGATATACTCTAACCTGACCATCCATCATCAGCAGTCTGTGCACCATGTCCATTGCTCCCCCCTGACCATGATTTGTATCCAGCATTCCCTGTTGTGTTTGTCCTGGCGTCACATCCTTCATGTCTTGACGATGCATAATCTGTCCCTCCTCCGCCTCCAGCTATTATCAAAGGTGTGTTGGCTCCTCTCACCACAAACGTTCCTCCACCACCTCCAGAAGAATATGAATTCGTGTTTATTCCTCCTTCTTGACCAACAAGTACTTGAATGACTTCACCCTTGTTTAAGCGGAACGTTCCAATCATTCTTGCTCCTCTTCCTCGGTACTGAATACTGTTAGCGCGTATATCGTACCCTCCTGCAGCTGCTATTGCTTCTATTCTGTAGTGACCAGTGTACGGCACAGTCCACTGTTGAACTCCGCTGGACAGCGTAACTTGTCCGTCATGATCCTGTCCTGTGTAGTGACTGCCTAGCGTTGTTGGACCAATTCTTCCACTGGCGTCGAGGTTTGTAAAAACGACCTTGAAAGCTGAAAGGGAAGAGTTAAGTTATCTACATCGTTATAACCATAATTGTTTTAGCTTTTTTCTTTCATTTAGAGGTAAATTTGCATCTACAAAAAGGACATGGAACAGTTAAAATCTTGTAGATTGATCCTTAAAAAATACTCACCATTATTGCAATTATTAAGTTATTTAATATTCAACTTTTTTTATTTAATCATTTATTCAATTCTTTGTCTCTCAATGGATGTGTACCCGCTAGTCACGAAAGTATTTTTCCCCGAAAGTTTATCAAGCATCGCATCTGATTGTGATTGAAATATTGTGTCGATCTTCTTTGTTAAAACAGATCGCTTTTGAAATAGGCCTTCAACTAAAACTGTCCCTTCTTTGCCTCATTTCAGTCCAAAGATTACTGAGCATCACCAACTTTGTTTAAGCTTTCTTCTTTCCCGACGAATTCTTCAAGCAAAACATCTATTTCAGACATGTCGTCCACAGATATTCCACATGCAGTTTGTTCTTGATGCATCTTAGCCTTATACTTCTTCTGGAGAAGAACCCATCGGTCTCTTACTGCCCTTTTATCTTTCAGATGAAAACAGAGTGTCTTCACTTGATTTGACTTTTCTGTGATCGATTCCCACCTTTCTTGCCTGGCAAAACTTCCATTTTTGAACGAAAACAAATCGCTCGCCAGAATTTCTCGAAGCAAAATAACATCATGATCTTCAGTCCACTCCATAGCTCTAAAAGCAAATTACGACAATTCATCTATTTGACCGATGGTTGAGGAAAAATGTAAACTTATTAAGATAAACAAAAAAATATTTTCCGCTGAAATTTCTTCGAAAGACTCAATAGTTAAGCTTACTTTGGCTTTCCATCGGAGGCGGGCGCCGACATCTTTTTCTCAAAGCTACGAGAATTGAAAATGTCCGTGTGTTTATCTATGTTTGAGTATACAATTTGAACAACATGAAAGAAAATAATTCTAAAAATACTAACAAGAGCAAAATAAAATGTTACAACAAGTTTGAGACAAGCTAGCGAGGGAAAAATACTCACGTTCTGGATACAACGCCAAAACTGATGAAGGTTCTCACGTTCGCGCGAAACGAAGGCGACTTGACAGACAACTCCAGAACGCCCACCGGAACAAAAAGTCACTTCTGGTCGCCGTCGCCGTCGCAAAATAGCCTGGTGCTTAAGTTCTCTATTTCAATTTGTAAACCACGCATATTTTCATCTTGTTATCCATGTCTCCATGGAATTCTCTTATATTTATATTCTTTCTCACTTCACTCATTCAAGTTAAGTCAAGTCAATTTTTATTTAAACTTACACAGAAATAATTAACAACTATTCACCGAAGTGGAGGTGGTTAGTGGTGGATATTTACCCAGCCGCGAAGCGGCGAGGTAAATATCCACCGCTCACCACCGACACTGAGGTGAATAG